GCGGTGAGGGAGGGCGCCTGCGCGCGGCGGTGGCGGTTGGCAGGGGCGCGCGGCGGCGGGAGGGGGTCGGCCGGCTGGCTGTCCGTTTGTCCGTCCGGCCTCTGGGTGCCCTCAGGCCTCTGGGTGCCCTCAGGCGCGGGCCTCGCAGGTAGGAGTTTGGGTTTGGGTTTGGGGGAGCGCCGGGGGGAGAAGGGTGGTCTGCCCGCCGTGAGGGTCGGCCGGGAGGTGGGCGTACGGAAGGGAGCGTTGGGGCTGGGTTAAACTGTGGAGGGAGAGGTACAGAGGTGGGAGTGAGGGGTAAATTCGGTTTAATTCCTGGTCGGTGTTGCAGTTTTTAAAACCTTCTCGAGAGAGAGGGGAGGGCTGAGGTTTGTTGGTAATTGTGCCTCGTACTTGGAGCGCCCGGGAGGTGGAGGAAAGTTTGTCTGGCCTTCTGCTTCTTGGGCAGTCCCCCGAGTGTGCATCCCTCCTGAACATCAAAGGCAGCGCTCAGGGATGTGGTCCTGCCAACGCGGCTGCTGGCACATCGTTTCGTGGTACTGTGGGGTTACGGGTGTAATTGGGAGCAGTTCCGTGTCTTAACAACATGTACCGGGTGGAAGTACTTACTGTTATCGGGCTCGGAGGTTTTAAGGCAGGAGGATGGATATAGTGCGCTGGTGTTTTCGTTTTAATTAAAGCTTTTGGACGGTTTTGTGGTAAAGTAAATTTAGTACTTGGTGCTATTTTCTCCGTTGCGCGCGTGGAGAAACTGGAGCGCCGGCACATGATGCTGCTCACTAAAATCTGCACACTGATAAGACATAAACTTCTTCACTTATTGTTCTAGATGTTATTTTGGAGGAGCCGGAACAGTGATCAGAGGGCTTGAGAGGAGACTTGCACAGGTTTACGGGAGCTCTCATTTGATGAAAATGTGTCCCCCTCAGTCTTCAGTCCTGTAGTTGACTTTGAAACTCTTGCGGCTGATTTTATTCTTCAGTGAGATGGGGAGGGGTAATGCCTGCATAGAAATAAGAAGCGACGAGTTAGAAAGGAGCTGCCTTCCCCTAATATGCTTCTGAGTTCAGTATCATCACCCTCGATCTTCTCTCTTGCTCCTGGAAAGAGCAGGAGCCCTGCTGCTGCTTGGGTGAGGAGGAGGGTTGTAAAAGGACAGGAATTCTTTAACCCTGAGGAAGTAGGAGAGGAGGAGTCCACATCACATCTTACTTCTGGTTCTCTAGACTCCCCAGCAAGATCCAGTGAGATGGGGAAAAGAGGTTAGCAACAGAGTGGGAGGAAGAATGGTGCACTGTCTCCCACTGCCTGAAATTTTACTGAGCTGCTTGTCCAAAAGGTTTAATAGTATCCTGATTCTTGGGGGCTATGTTTTTAGAATTATTTTCACAAGCATATGATTAAAATTGCTTGTTGCTAGGTTGAGCTAGAATTGTTGGAACAGTTTTGGATTCTGTCAAACACTGTTCTAGGCCATAACACTTCCAAAGGATGTGAGTTAGAGCTCTTAAATTACATGTTTGAAACTTTTCTCCTGCATAAAAAAAAATTTGCATATTGGTTGAAAATCTACATAGATCTAAGTAGTGTTTGAACATGGAAAAGGGCCTGTACATTTCTACCTTTTCATTTTTTGCCTACCAAAATCATGCCACCTACACAGTTTTTTGATAGCTCTCTTTGCAGTAGGCAATGACAATTTGTAATCCTTACTGAGATAAGACTGCAAAAAATAATAATATAAAAAAAGTAAAATCCATTTATGCTTACGGAAGCTTCAACTGGAATGTCCTCGGTGCAGTTTTCGTGCTGAAGTACCTCCATAAGAAACAAATAGTAGGATTCTGTTATTAGTTATGCATTCATAACTCATGTACAACTTTTCATTTTTTTACAACTTTGTTCCTAGATACTTGTAAACTGAAAATTATAAATATATTAAGTAGCCGCAGGTCTATACTTCTTACTTCAGCTTCTGTCTTGTATTGCTTTAGCTATCTGTGGTTGACACTTCAGTTTAAAAAATGTATTGTGAAGTACTTAAAGCTCAAATAAGAATGTGCATAGTTTTAATGTATGTGTTTTTCTCAGGTGTTATTTTTTGTGCGGGAGAGAGGCAAGTGAGGAATTTGGCCAGAAATGTGTTGAGTGGTTGTTTTGAGTTTTTTGGGGTTTGTTTTTCTTTTGGAAAGCAGCAAGGTCTCTGACATCTGGCATCGATACTGACTGATGCCACTCCAGCAATGCAGCAGCTGCCAGAAAAAGATAGGCTACTGCTGAGTTGAATCATGACCTTAGCTTTCCATTATACATGAGATTCCTGTGTTCACAGAAATCTGTTTCACCATGTGCTTTTTCAGGATATTCCACTGACCTTGGGGGGAAGGTGTTTTTAAACTGTGCTGTATTTTTTTAAAAAGGTATTTCCCTGCTAAGCAGTTAGGTAGTTACAAGGTATGCCAGTACTGTTTGCTGTATGCCTTACTCCATCTCTTTGGCTGTGCTCAGTCTGAGTGCTGCGTCTTTCACAGTGGAGTCAGCGGCTCAGCTGTAGTTGTGTAACAAGAGAGGCCATTCATAAGTGTGTTCCTTGGCCTGGAGACATTAGATTGCATTTCCTAGCGTAAAATCAGAGTTCGTTGCATCCTAGGAAAGTGAAAACTGTACTGGAGTACAGGAGTAGCACCCGCTCAAGTTGGCCTGTGCTTGGTAATGCTGTTGGGTCATTTGCAGCAAATGCTTTGTACTCGCTTAGTAAAGAAAGCATGAGCTTTTCCTTTGGTAAACTCAGAAATCTTAATGTGATGTTTTAGCACTGGGTAATTGCCAAGAATTGGGCCTCTGTTTTATAAGTGAAATGTGACTATATAAAAATGTCTACTGCTTGCTCACCAAATTGTCTGGAAATGTTAAAAGTAACTGTATATTGGCTATCTAATGTTTGATACAGTTGTGAAGCACTGGAACAAGAGTAATGCTAGAGCCAAGGTGTGCTGAACACAGCCAGTTCTAGCCAGCTCCAAAATGGACCCAGCGCTGGCCAAGGCTGAGCCCACCAGCCAGGCTGGTGTTGCCTTGGGGAAAGTGTATTTAAAAAAAAGGCAAAATGCTGTGCAGTAGCTGTGAGAGGAGTGAGGAGATAGAGGGCAGGGGGGTGGAAATCACACAAAAAAGGTGAAAAACAGCTCTGTGAACACCAAGGCCAGAGAAGGAGGGGACGAGGCTCTTCTGGTGTGGAGCAGATACCCACCTGGAAACCTGTGGAGGGAGCTGAGCTGGAGCAGATACCCACAAGCAGCTGGTGGAGAGCCCATGCCGGAGCAGACTCCTGGTAGGGATTGCAGCCTGTGGAGAGGAGCCCACATAGGACCAGATTTTCTGGCAGGAGCTGTGGCACATGGAAGGGACCCATGGTGGAGCAGTTTGTGAAGGACTGTACCCCGTGGGAAGGATTCACGCTGAAGTAGGGGAAAACTGAGAGGAGGAAGGAGTGACAGAGAGGAGCTTTTACGGACTGATCCCCATTCCCAATCCCTCTTCCCTGTTGTGGGGTAGGGAGTAGAGGAGGTGGGAATGAGGGAGTGAAGTGCCTGAGAACAAGGGAGTGGAGGGAACGTGTTGTAGTTTTTATCTCTTGCCATCCTACTTTATTTTTAAATGGCAATAAATTAATTTTCCCTGAGTTGAGCCTGTCTGCCTGTAATGGTAATTGAGAAGTGATCTCCCTGTCTTTCTCTACCCCTGAGCTTTTTCATCTTACTGTCTCCCCCTGTCCTGTTGGGGAGAAGTAAGAGTGTGGCTGGGTGGGTGTCTTGGCAGCCAGAAAATCAGTGACACGCATTCAAAAGACAATGGACTTCATGCATACCAGCACTCAGGGACAGCTTCTGTTGTCCAGTGCATTCCCTTTGGAGCAAGTTGTTCGACTCTGATCGTAAACCAAAGCAGGTTGGAACAGAGGAATAGCACTTCTTGTTTGGGGTGACGTTGGGTGGAAGAACAATGGCATCCTTGATAGGGATAGGTGAGATCCTGATTTCTTCTTTGTCCTGCATGTCAGGGTTACAGATGTATGGGGAGTCTACTTTCAGTGCTTTTGTCCTATGATGTTCCTTCTGTATGAAATGGATTTATTCTATTTGCCAACCAGGCCTTTCCTCATTCGTATCTGTTGCAATCACTTCTTCCGTGATACCCCCCCACACGGAGACAGTAAGTTATGTAAGGGAAGTATCTGGGTTATTTCCTGGTGTCTTACGTATTCTTTATCTTTTTTAGTTTGTAATTCAGGGAGTTGGAGCTGCCAGTACTTTTGTTCTTTTACATTTAATATCAAGCGGTTATCAAGTAATAAATAGCAAGAAAAGAGTGTGGAGCTAGCACATCTGCTTGTATTCTCCACACAACTGGAATGTTTTAGCTGGTCGAGGCGGTTATTCTAATCAGGCCCCACAAATGCACCCTGGTCTGTTTCTTTTTAACTCGTACATTTCCTCTTTAAAATTGTCTGGTTCGATGCAGTTTGTAGAATGTAACAGTTATCACCTGGAAACGTATATTATCATCCTACTAAAATATCAGTTCCTATTCAATTGAAAGCCGAGCAACTGTATTTCTGCTGATAGTCATACCTTCTGACGTTCTTCTGTGGGAAGGGTAGACAGAGGATCCGGGAAGGCTGCTAGAACTACTGCTTGCCCCTGATCCAGCTAACCTCATGTTTGCACGGGAGCTGGTGCTGTTGCAGAGAGGTTATAGTTTGTGGACCGAAGGGGAGAGGGAAGTGAGACAGTGACAGTCGAGATCCAGGCTGGTCTGAATTGATGTGCCTGACCAGTTGAAACATGCACTAGTCTTAAAGGTTTTTTTCACGCTACAAAGTGTCTGAAATAAGGAAGTCTTTCCCCAAAACTCCTGGGCAGTCCTGATAAGGCGACCTTTGTGGCATAGAGGAGGCTTACTGGGGAAGCTTTGGAGTGTACATATTGCACAAAGAGTTCAAACAGGTTTGAGTTACAAGAGATTAATGCAATTCTACTGCAATTCTACTGAAGGAAGTGTGGTTGTCAGCTGAATATATAGCAGTGAGGGAGGAGGCTTAGGTAGGTCGGCAGCAAAACTCTTCCTGGGAACTGCGTGTCAGACTGG